TCCGGGTACCCGTTCGTAAAAAGAACCCGTTTTAACGCATTTTGAACGGGTATTTTTCACATTTCGTCACTTTTGACACATTTTCGGTCCCCAATTGTCGACGAGGAGAATCGAATGCACTTTGAATGATGCAAATCGGCCGAGCCGTTTTCGAGAAACATTTGTATCGTTAATGAGTCACGCGTGGAGGTTTATATTTGCTGGATTGCGATCAAAATTCAAAATTCTGTCCACGGTGTTTGATGCGAAGTAGTCACAAAAATCAAACACCGTGGCCAGAATTTTAAATTTTATTCACAATTAAGAGTTTGTCGATGGAAACTATTACCCGGGTTGCCACATCGTTTGGATAAAAGGTCTATTTGGGTGCCGAGTTGACTTGTCCAAACACATGTGGACATTCGCCACTTTGTCAAAACACCTGTACCAATTCGTTATTTTGTCAAATAATGTATGGACATTTGTCATTTGTACCATGCTAGAACACAGCACTTTTTGTATACATTGATTTGCCATTTGTTTCTGCATGTGCAACACTCAATAAGAAACCAGATGCCCCCCAAAACTCAATTTGACCAAAAAGTGGACATACGTCACATTGTCAAATTTTTCCTGACATGAATTATTGCTATTTTGTAGCACTGTCTTTATGATTTCAGTGCTTCAACCGATATTAACGAGCTACTTGAACGCCTGGAGAGGAATCATGCGGTGATAACAAACCGCGACAGCAAAATCTTTACAAGATATTTCAAATATCCCGACTCTTTGCACCTTTGGGCACATGACCAATATGAGGAGCATCTGGACCAATTGCTTGAAGGAAAAGAGGTACGTTTGAAAGCTTTCTGTTTCCTTCCACATACAGTGTGAAAAATATATTAAATGTACGATATGTACGATATATTTTGTAATTTGCCATGTGCAAAACGAGTCGTACATGTACAACCTCCAACTCTCACTTCTTATTCGATTCCCAGTCGATACGCCTCCTATTAATCCGACTATTCAATATTACAACACACATTCTATTGTAAGGCACTGTAAATAAGTCCCTTATAGTATAAGCAATGACCTGAGATAAATACGTTCCCCTATATTTCCCTCCTTTTCACGTAAGGCCGTATAAATATACTGCGCCGTGACTGTTTGCGTCTAAACTGCGCGCGTGCAGAGAGGGGGTTAGGTTCAGTAATCCCATTTTTCCTAAAAAAATGAAACATTGTTTTTACCGTGTAAGGGAAAGACGCCGAGTTCGCCCGTGTGTTAGGGATAGGAAATAAGTCACAGGAATCACTCCCCGCGGACAATCTGGCACTCTAGTGACTCGTTGGTGACTCGCGAGTCACTAGTGCTAATCCGGGGCTGGCCGGGCGAGCCGGGAGGGTCCGCCCCACACCCCCTCCCCCTTCTGACCCGCTGAGACCAATATTTTAGGGTCATAAGACGCCAACCAGATTAGAGTGCTGGAACTGGATTGCATTTTGGGTAAATACAGCAAATCAAAGTGGCGAGGTCGGCAGAAAGGTTAGTCAGCCTGTACCCATTTTGGGTCTAAAGTATGCCTCATTTTGTTCAGACCAGTCAGCCATCGGGGCCATCGGGTCGTATGTGCATATTTTGCGATTTTGTCGAGATTACGTGTACCACTCGAAATAAACTTTTGTCCTGATTTAATGATAAACATATCCGAAAATAGACAAAAAATACACATACGACCTTATACGAGGAAACCGACCTTATAGCGAGGCTTTCGAAGACCCACCGAACTTTTGATTTCCACGGGTTGACTTGGTCAAAGGTGTACAACATTTAAATTTTGTTTCGCAGGTCACTATGTTGGCTAATGTTCTAGAAAGCCCACTACATGAGGACGCCGTAAAGTTCGACACCATCGACGTCCGCCTCGTGTCAACAAATGAAAGTCGGCAAAGTGAGCTCGACTTGGCATTTGAGGAGTCTCAGATATCGATGACTCACCTGGGAGTCTCCTATTATAAATGTGGTAGCCAGGTAAGTTATAATCGTGGTGAAAATAAAAACCAGTTGGCGTTCTTCGGGCTTATAGTGTCTTTGAACGCCAATATTTGGCGTGCGTCCGAGAACGCCAATATTTTGTCGTTCAAAGACGCCAACCAGTTTACAGTAAATAGTCCCAAGTGATGACATTTTGCTTTAGAGCAGTTCCAATTGTGAATAAGACACTCTCCAAGACGGGGTTTTAAATGTGACGCGATCCGATCGATGCCTCCTGGCGTGAAAGTTCGATCTGCACCGGCACGGTTACACAAAGTTCAATCTGCAGCGGCACGGTTACACATAGTCCGATGTGCAGCGACACGGTTCAACGTTCAAGCTCACGCTAACGTGAAAGCAAATGACGTGAAGGTACAACGTTGAGCTTTTACTCAAAACTCTCGCGTTAGACTCAGCACCAACAACTAAAACCATGTTGAGGCACGGCTAGGGTTGTTCGGTGTCCGTTTCTTCACACCGGTTTTCGGTGAAGAGATTTACCGGTTTTATTTCACCGAAAAATCGGTGAACAGTTTTAAACCGGTCTTACAGTACAATCAACCGGTATGGTTAAGAGAACCAGCAACATTGAAATAAAAAGCCGTTGAAATGAATTACGCTAGAAGTTAACTTTATGAAAGCAGTGTACCCCTCCTGGAATATTCTGTTCTTTGGCTAGGATAAAAGGGTACACTTCTTCGCAACGTGCACAATTTTGCCCGAATGGATGGACCTGCAACATATAAAAAATATTGTAATTTGTTTAAGATGGGTTTATAGCGCGGCTTCGGCAATTTAATATTGTTGATATCTAATTTTTAAATAATCTCCAAAGCTCATGTATGGACAATTGGTTTACAAATTTACCACTTTTTGCTCAGTTTGGGTGTCACGAGAGATGAACATGAATGGGCTATATTCAGACTAAAGCGGAGTCGGTAGCTCAAAAAATGCGGCCAGAACCGTGAACGCCATGGAGATGTCTTGTCCGAGCGAAAGAAAACCATGAGTACTTTTCCTTTATAGGTTAAGTTAAAGTTAAATTCATTACTAAGGCCTTTCGTTCATATCGCTGCGATAAGTAGTTATAAGTAGTTATTCTGAAAACAAATACTATCCCGAACAATTGCATTACAAAGCATTTCACAGGTCTGCCCCCTTTATATAAGCCCTTTCCTTTTTGTGTAGGTCTTCTCGGTTTCTGTGGAGAGTCAAGATATCTCATTTAGTGCCAAGAAAAAGGACGGGAAGCCACTCACTACCAACGGAGTGTACGATAAACTTCGTGATGGTGATATGATGCTCAGCCCGTACGCTGTTTGGAAAATCAAGATCGACGGTCCACCCAGTCTCTTCAGAGTTTTGTCTTCGTTCAAGGTATGCTAACGTAAACATTTGTTAAACTCTCCTAGAGCGGTGATAAAGGTAGAGTATAACTGGTCTAACAAATTATGGCATTCTCCGATCTAAAGCTCTTCTTTTAAGTGCAAAAAAATAAAAATGCTCAGTCAAAGAACTGATTGCGAAACCTGATGATATAAATTGCCAAATTAGAGACAAGTAATGTTTGTAACACTTTGTCCTTACAAAAGCATATTATGGACTATTTATTTTGTACAAAGCTACGTAGATCTACGAACATAAATAATTTCTACGTAAAATTTCTTACTTAATTTTGATTGAGTCTGTTTCTCTGGTCAGGGAGGACACTAGGTAAAGGATTTTGGAAATTGAAAACGTAATATTGCAAAAACAATTCTCTGTCCCATAACAAATTTAATGCATTTTAGTTTTTCAGATCGGAAAATATTTTCTGGTGAAAAGTCTAAAAAAAGTGACATTTCTAGATTTCTTCTTGCCAGCGGACATTTTTCGAAAATGGATTTTAGAAATACAATATACGCAAAATAAATTAGCCCTCTGGGCTAAGAAAGCGGCAGTCCCCCTGATCAGGAGTCATTGGACGAGGCAATCGTTGGAACAATTATTCTCTTTTTAACCGATGATCTCTTAAATACCATTTTACTTAACATAAAGATATATAAGTAACGTTAAGGTGTCAGCTAGCTTTGACTCTCGATACTAAAGCATTGGTGATCGTGTCAATGAAGTCAAGGATGTCAAGGAAAAGATTTTTAGCCCGCTCTGCTGCTTTGTAAAAGCTATATAAGCGGGCCTATGCCAACGCCGCCCCCATGTCTGTCTGTCTGTTCCCCAAGAAGGACGAAGCCCCCAAGCCTGGCCCAGGCCAGGGCGCAGGGCCGCCGAGGTCTCGACTCCAACGACGAGCACCTCTGGCTCTGGCTGCTGCTAGGTCTAGCGCTAGTCCAGGGCGAGGGCGAGCACCACGTCACCACTCACTCGCCCAACAAATGCCTGGTCTCAAGCAGAGACGGACGACAACAAAGCACAAGACCGTGAATCTCAAAACAATGACGCATAATTATAGTTCTAGAACGCAAAAACATATTTCGACGCGTCCTAACAACAATGTTCTATCTGCAGCGTGCGGATTACACAATGTTCTATCTGCAGAGTGCGGATTACACAATGTTCTATCTGCAGAGTGCAGTTTACACAATGTTCTATCTGCAGAGTGCGGATTACACAATGTTCTATCTGCAAAACGGGGTTAGGCGCCGCCCTTCACCTTTGTGTGGTTTGCAAGTAACTGGAAGACATTAAGGCCAATCTGAGCACACGGCCCACAGTGGGCTAGAATCCCAAAAAAGCGGACAAAAGGATGACAATTTTTTTAACGATTTGGGCTAAAAAGACTAGTGCACTTTGTAGCGCAATGTTCAAGGATTTCAAAACGCATTAGTTTGTATTTTTAGCTGCAAATCTTCACCTTGAAATATCATTTTGAAATCAGCTATTTTGCGGTGCCCGCATGGACGGCTCTAACCTCACTATCTTATATTGTTATTTTTATCGTTGTTCATAGCTTCAGCCGCCCACACGTTTGCTGACGTGTTGTTCTAAACACAACGAAACATATCCAGGTGCAGGCCATCGATTATTTAACCCCCACCCCCCCAAAAAAGTGAAAAGTAAAACCCTCCCCTGATTGCGATTTGGGCCAACTTTAAAAGGCCGTAAGTAACGAAATCATGAAAAATCAAAGAAACCGACAATTGATTCTTGAAGTTCGAAACCTTGTCTACAAGTTCCCGTAGTCGGTTTTTGCGGTATTTTGCGGTCTTGCGAGAAATAGACTTGTTTTTGGACGGATTTTGGTGGACTTTGCGGTGGCGCGGTCTAAAAGGGTCGCCTAACCGACTGCACCTCGTATGAAATCATTGAAAAAGTGTCAAAAATCCCTTAAAAAATCATGCAGAGTCCTAAAAAATCAGAAAACAATCAAAACAAAACCCTATTTAAAAATCGTAAAATATTGTAAAAATGGTGAAAAAATCGTAAAAATTCGATTTTTTTTTGTAAAAATCAGCAAAAAATCAGCAAAACTCAGCGCAACCGTAGACCTCCGAAACCAAACTTTCACGTGATTTGAGTAAGATTTTGAAATCTCCCCCCCTTTTTGACCTGGATCCGCCTCCTAAAAGTTCAAAATTATTAAAAAAATGGAATCAGCGCACCCGAAAACCCCCCGGAACATACCGACATCGTATGTGCGATGCACCCATTAACTGTTATGATTTATGTCCTTTTTTTTTTGGGCTCTAGCCCACTGTGCGGCCAGAATCCTTAAGGTCCAATGTTTAAGCATTGACTGCAAAGACTAAAGTAGAACGAGCGGTTACGGAGTAATAAGCATTTCTTTGGAGGTGTCCCGAAACCCGCGTTTTGCAGATAGAACATTGTGTAATCCGCACTCTGCAGATAGAACATTGTGTAATCCGCACTCTGCAGATAGATTATTGTGTAATCCGCACGCTGCAGATAGAACATTGTTGTTAGGACGCGTCGATTTGATTACTAGGCTAACAATTATCTTTACTAGAATTTTTTGTATTCGGATCGTCTATTTGTTAACATGAAATGTTTTTTCCGTCAAAATTTGAGTCACCTGGAACTCCCGTAGAGGCCTGCAGCTGCTAAATGTGAGAGAAAATTAGAACACAGACCTATTCTTAAATTGGTATTATCTGATTTCAAGATCGATTCTTGATTGGGATTTTTGTTTTGAGTGCGTAAAGGGGTACGTTCTATAACCCTTGGGTGAACACGGAACGACATGGGACTTTCACAGAAGCGACGAACCTTCAATGTATTTTTCACTTTTTTCATAAGAGTTGTTAACATTTCTTTTGTTTTGTGGATTTTCCAGGGTGAAGTTTCGCTGGCCTTGGAAGGACACGCACAGTACGTTCATGGACTCCAGTGCAGCAACAGTTTACGAGGATATTACAAAGCTGTGGAGAGCAAATCTGAACTAAATGTCATGGCAATTTAATAGTCGTTACCTTTCTTGTACATTTTATTAGTACGTGCATTTTGCTTTTGAACAAAATAAACGATAATGCACTGTAAAATGCTTGCAAACTTATATCCTTTGGAACGTTACAAAGAATTCTCGAGGTTTGCAATGCAAAGAATTCATTTGTATTGCAAAGAAATACTTTGCAAGCTGTCAGAATCCCTGCAAACAATGGGTTTGTATTGTAAAGAAAGAGTACGCAAGCTTGCGGAGCAATACCCATTATGTTTAACAGCTCACCGCCTTTGTGGCTGGGGTTTGGGGTGGCTGGGGTGCTGAACGAAAACGTAATATTGATATCATTAGAAAGGGGCGGAAATTCTCTTTCAGATGATACCAATATTATGTTTTAGGTGAAAGAGCGACTTGAACGGTTGTCTGGAGCGCCAAGCTAGGGAAGCGGTTGGTTGGCCCCAGGCGGGAGTGAGCCGAGCGTTTGTCCCCAGCCGCGGAGGGGTTGAGCGAGTTTACACAGGGGGTATTGGAAGAACTAGTTTTTATAACAATGCTTCAAAATTCTTTGCAATATTCAAAGAAAATCATTTGCATTAAGAACCTGTTCCTTGCAAGCATTTTGCAGTGTGTGTTTATTGACATATACAAATAAAGTAAGTGAACCTAACCACAAACGGTATTGTTTTAACAATGCAAAATCCTTACCTGTCAACGGCCGAACAGTTTCTTCTACGTACAAAATGAAACGCTTTGATATATGAAAGACAAAACATTCAAACAACCCGGTGAATGATGCCTTCGCGCAATACCACCCAGGTAACCAGATTAAAATCTTTCAAGACTTTTCCTGTTTTCACCCACACACTAAGAGCTTATAAATATTTTCATTCATATCTTGCAACGTGCCTAAAGTTGGCCAGAAAAAAACATGGTCAAAATTTTTCGAAAAAAAAAAGTACTAAAAATCGACCATCCAGAAATGCGTTTTCGGACCTGGGGAACAATACATCAAAAGATGGCGGGACCCTTTCTTGGAAAATCTTAGACACTTACGCTCTGAGACGAATTTGGAGGGCGGGACATTTTTATCCCTGGTAATAAAAAGTCTGATATTTTCCCGAGGTGTTCCCAGACGGCCTACCTACCATCCAGCGAGGTCACCGGATTTTGGGGAACAACACGATGGGTCCTACAAACAAAAT